CCTATTGTATCCTTAATAACCTTATAATTATATTATTTATTGTCGTATCCCTAAACTGTCTACAGATGCATTGGTGAGAATTCATGCGGGTTAGAAAAGACCCGGACATCGGATTTTACGGTCCGTATACCGTATATTCTACACAAGTGTTAGACCGCAAGGAAGCTAAACCTGATACTCGTAGAGTCAGGGACTACGTTTTCGAGCCTCGCGCCCGCCTTTGTAGTTTGCCGAACGTAGTCAAGGACAGCGAATAAAAGATAAGCATGAAACGTGAGTCGAGGCAACCACGCGATTTAAATATCAACTTTTTTAATTTTACGTTTTTTTATCCCGAAATTTTTCTTAACATATTGATGAGATTTTTCTGATGAAAATGACATAAAACACGACATAATTTGAACAACATTTACTTATTAACACGTTCACGTGTTGTGGCGGCCACAAGAAAATACATTTTAAGCATATACATTAAGCAGCTCATATTTCAGCTGGCAATACACAACACAACTAACTACTAAACCAAATCATCAGAAAAATTTTCAATACTATAATTGAAGTAAACTTTCGTAGAACGAGAGTGAAAAATTGAAAGAATCAAAAGAAAAAACGCGAATTCGTATCTTTTTCGATTCTAGAATATAAGAAAATTTGAATAAAATACGCGACGAGAATTGGGGAGAAGCATAAGTTAAACGCGTAAAAATATTCAATAAAAAACGAACTAGGGATGAAGCTATTATTTCAATACGCGATGCACTGACTCTAGTATTTACTAAAATTCAAAAATTCTCGTATAAATTCCGAAAATAGATTATTAATTACGGTAAACTACTGAGACGGTTTAATTAAGGGTGGGCATGGTGCTGCTTTAGTTTGAAATGATTTATAAACACATAATTAACAGAGGAAAAACCGTGAAACGGCAAAACGTCAACATTCTAATTGTTATAACATGTAAACAAAACTTTAAATTTAGTGTAAACAGAAAAAATATATAATACAATTTATTTCACGGTATTGCAACAAATAAACGTTGAATCAATATTTAATTCGTATAAAAACAATTATTTAACGTAATAATTTTACCTTCACTATGGCTATTTTTAATCTACGACCACAGGTCAACCTGATTTCTAATCCTTACGAACTTTAAATTCAGTCTAAACTGAGAAAATATATAATACAATTTATTTCACGGTATTGCAACAAACAAACGTTGAATAGATTCTTAATTCGTATAGAAACATTTATTTAAAATAATAATTTCACCTTCACTATGGCTATTTTAAATTTACGACCAAGGGTCAACCTGATTTTTAATCCTCCGAACTTGATTTCACAACGAGAAAGTAATAAGATCGTTGAAACGTACTTATTTGTCAAAGAAACTTGCAAAAATGTATAAATAATAATATGTAATGTTTTAACAAATTTTTGGAAGTATAAATTAATAATAAAATTGTGAAAATTAATAAATTATACGTTATTATAACATTAATAGAATTATGACTAAACCGAAGTTCGAAGTCGAGTATTTAAAGTCTGATATTACGTGCCTAGCGAGTGCCGGTAATTGTTAAAATTTGTTTAATAATTAGTAATAGAAATTCTAATTGATTCTAATGTATACAAGTGTTACAAGAAGGCTGAGTGTGTACAGGGTGGACATAGACTAGCTAGTAGCCCCCGACCACTCTATTCACATCTCAGAACCTTCAGGTCAAAATACGCCGCGAAGTGTCTAGGGCCCAGTATAAAGGGTAAATGATTTCGCGGGACATCGGCGGGTCCTTATATACCTGCGGTACCCTCTCCCCAAAGTCATTAGCAAAATCGTCGGTTAGGTCAGGCGGGAAATTTTCGCGGGAGATTTTCGCGGGAGATTTCCGATATCGTAACACGGTATAATTTATCAATTTTCACAATTTTATTAAAAATTTATACTTCCGACAATTTGTTATAACATTGCATATAACAATTTATACGTTTTTACAATATTCTTCAATGGAAACATAGGTTTTAGCGTTCTCGTTACTTACTCGTGGTTAAATTAATTTCGTAGGGATTAAAAATCAGGTTGACCTGTGGTCGTAGATTAAAAATAACCATAGTACAGCTAAATTTATCGTGTTAAATAATTCTTCTTACACGAATGAAAAATGTATTCAACGTTTGCTTGTTACAATACCATGAAATAAATTATATTACACATTTTCTCTATTCACACTGAATTTAAAGATTATAACGATTAAAAATCAAGTTGACCTGTGGTCATTTATCAAGAATAATCATAATAAAGCTGAAATTATTGTGTTAAATAATTTTTTTAATACGAATTAGGAATTTATTCAACGTTTGCTTGTTACAATACCATGAAATAAATTATATTATACGTTTTCTATATTTACACTAAATTTATCGTTCTATTCTAACAAGCAAACGTTGAATAAATTCCTAATTCGTATTAAAAAAATTATTTAACACAATAATTTCAGCTTTATTATGATTATTCTTGATAAATGACCACAGGTCAACTTGATTTTTAATCGTTATAATCTTTAAATTCAGTGTGAATAGAGAAAATGTGTAATATAATTCATTTCACGACACTAAAACAAACAAACGTTGAATACATACAAATGTAACGATAGAAATTATTGCAATAATGCGTAATGCAATTGAAAAATTGAAAGAATCAAAAGAAAAAACGCGAATTC